ACGATTCGATTGATCTAATTTACGATGCGATGAATTTAATTTAATGTTAATTCCTGTAATAATTTTTATTGATAATCTACACTTGTCTTTTCTAATGATATTTTATTTTTAAGACTAGCAATGTTTTGGCTATAATTTATTATAGATTGTCCTGAAACAATAGCCAAAAGAGAGTTTAATCTATTTAACTCACCTTCTAATTCAGAAATACAATTTAAATTATCTTTTATTTAAAGCATATATTTACTGATAAATTTTGAATAACTATTTATATTTTTATAATTTTGTAAGATTTTTGGAATCAATTTATAATTTAACGAAACTTTATTGGTGATGTGGCTCTGAGTTGGTTTTGATGTGTTGATCGAGCCTTCCACCATTGATTCAGGGCAATTTTGAGCCAAAAAATTTCAAGCTCTTAAGAATTTCTGTATTGAAATATATTTTGAAGAAATTGCATCTCGGTAGAACAGTAGAAAAAAAAAATTATAATGGTATAACTCTAATGTATTTAGTATTTAGTACATTAGAGTTATACCATTATAAAAATATTTTTTATAATTCATACATGAATGATACAAGAGGATTGTAAGTACAATATATTTTTACATTTTTAATTTGACACAAGAAGGATTGTAAGTACAATATATTTATTTAGACAAGAAGGATTGTAAGTAAAAATTTTATAAATATCATAACCAAGAAGGATTGTAAGTAAAAATATTCTAGAAAAAAAAATACATTTTTATAAAAATTTACTTAGAAGGATTGTATTTTTTTTCTAGAATATAATCATATCCAAGAAGGATTGTAAGTAAAAATTTTATATATATCTAGAATTTTTTTAATTTATTTAGAAAAATTCTATTGCTACAAAAAAATTCCATTTTCTTTTTTAATTTTATATATCTCCTTCTCCTCTCTATTAATTGATCTTCGATAATTTGAAGATGAGTTATTGCTCTCGTTTCCATCTTATTATTCTTCTTTTTTTTTCTTTTTTAAATTTTTATTTGCATTTATAGAATAAATTTTCTTCTTTCAATATCTCATGCAATTGTTTTATTAGATTTCTCTCTGATTTGATGGTAACCTTAAATTGAATTTTTCAATTTTCATCCTAACTAGCGATCACCTGAATTAAAATTTTGTATATCTCCTTCTCCTCTCTATTAATTGATCTTCGATAATCTGAAGATGAGTTATTGCTCTCGTTTCCATCTTATTATTATTCTTTTTTTTTCTTTTTTAAATTTTTATTTGCATTTATAGAATAAATTTTCTTCTTTCAATATCTCATGCAATTGTTTTATTAGATTTCTCTCTGATTTGATGGTAACCTTAAATTGAATTTTTCAATTTTCATCCTAACTAGCGATCACCTGAATTAAAATTTTGTACATTTTTGTCTTCAATTTCCATGTTTTGGTTATGATTAATTTCGCGTTTTTGATCAATAGTCACAATTTTGTCACCGTTAGATTGTCGGCATCGCAAATTGCCGTTGTTGTAGTAAGAGGATAGGAGAGAGTAAGAATTAGAACTCTAATTATCAACAGAGTAGGGATGGCAATGGATAACCTACCATGTAGGTATCCATGGAGATCCAACCCAAATACTTGGGTTTCCCCTTTTTTCTTGTCTATTGGGTAGGATAAGTGATATTTTTTAAATCTCAATTGGGGATAGGTCAAGGATGGGTACCCACTAATTTCTCCATATTTTTTTTAGGTACATCGAAAAATAATTTATCCATATGTTTTCACTATTCTGTTAACAATTAGAGTTCTAATTCTCACTCTCTCTCATCCTCTCACTACAGCAATGGCGATTTGCAATGACGACAATCTAGCGGTGACAAAATTGTGACTATCGCTAAAAAACGCGCAATTAATCATAACCAAAACATGAAAATTGAAAACAAAAATGTACAAAATTTTAATTAAGGTGATCGCTAATTAAGATGAAAATGAAAAATTCAATCTAAGGTTACATCAAATCAGAAAAAAATTCCATAAAACAATTGCAGGAGATATTGAAACAAGAAAATTCATTCTATAAATGCAAATAAAAATTTAAAAAAGAAAAAAGAAAAAGAAAAAGAAGAAGAAGATGAAAACGAGAGCAATAACTCGCCTTCAGATTATTGAAGATCAATTAATAGAGAGGAGATACATAAAATTAAAAAAATTAAAAAAGAAGATGAAATTTTTTTATAGGAATAGAATTTTTCTAAATAAAATTTAAAAATTCTAGATATATATAAAATTTGACAAGAATAATGTGACAATATTAATTAATGTATATTTGATTTTGTTGTTGAGCCAAATAAAATAAAATAAGATTAAATGTAAATTTAACTTTGGTTTTGAATCTTAAAAAAATAAAATAATAATAACAATAAAAAAGGTTGTGAACCTTTAAAAAAACAAAATTAAAAAAAGAAAAGAAAAAAGATTGAATGTATATTTAATTTTGGTTGTGAATCTTAAAAAAAAAAAGAAAAAAAAAAGAAGAAGAAGATTGGTTGTGAACCTTAAAAAAAAGGAAAAAAAAAAAAAAGATTGAATGTATATTTAGCTTTGGTTGTGAATCTTTAAAAAAAAAAAATCAAATCAGAAAAAAATTCCATAAAACAATTGCAGGAGATATTGAAACAAGAAAATTCATTCTATAAATGCAAATAAAAATTTAAAAAAGAAAAAAGAAAAAGAAAAAGAAGAAGAAGATGAAAACGAGAGCAATAACTCGCCTTCAGATTATTGAAGATCAATTAATAGAGAGGAGATACATAAAATTAAAAAAATTAAAAAAGAAGATGAAATTTTTTTATAGGAATAGAATTTTTCTAAATAAAATTTAAAAATTCTAGATATATATAAAATTTGACAAGAATAATGTGACAATATTAATTAATGTATATTTGATTTTGTTGTTGAGCCAAATAAAATAAAATAAGATTAAATGTAAATTTAACTTTGGTTTTGAATCTTAAAAAAATAAAATAATAATAACAATAAAAAAGGTTGTGAACCTTTAAAAAAACAAAATTAAAAAAAGAAAAGAAAAAAGATTGAATGTATATTTAATTTTGGTTGTGAATCTTAAAAAAAAAAAGAAAAAAAAAAAAAGAAGAAGATTGGTTGTGAACCTTAAAAAAAAAAGAAAAAAAAAATTGAATGTATATTTAGCTTTGATTGTGAATCTTTAAAAAAAAATTAAAAAAATTAAAAAAATGAGAAATTAGTGAGTATCCATACCCATCCCTTGTGAATATTTAAAAAATATCACTTACCTTACCCAACGAATAAAAAAAAATGAGAAAACTCATATATTTAAGTTGAGTATAGATACTCCCGTAATAGATTATCCATTACCATCCCTAGTTGCCTCCAACCCAATCTAAGCCATCTATTTGTGTGGGCAATGAATAATTACCCTAAAACATGAAACATACCCCATCACTAGAGTGGTCCACAAAAGAAAGTCAACTAGTTGGCGTGAGAATACTCGCAACATCATATCCATATCCATGTCTTATCTTATCCTCTATCCTATCCTCTTCATGAGCTAATTGATCTCTATCCTACCCTCTCCTCTCCATGAACTAATAATTGATTTACCACCATCCTCCAATTAATTTATATTTTTGTGTTGCTAAGCCTTATCAAGTCAAGTAAGTCCACTCGAACAAATACCAACACCTTCATTAAATTTAAAATTGATAAAAATTATATTCTAACTGTTTTATCAAATTAGTATCAGAACTCTACTTGGAGGATGAACTTTTAACTTTTTTAAGGCTAAAATTCACAATAAAAAAAATAAAAATAAAAATAAAAATTGCTAAAAATAACTAATAGAACAAACATCATCTATAATTATTTCACTTTTTCACTCACAAACATTATATTCAGCTATCAAAAAATTTCACTATCTTCTCCAATACAAATATTTTAACCCCACTAAAATAATCAAAAACTAAAATAACTTACTAAAATAGTCAACTTCCCAAACAAAGCCCAAATGAAAGGAGCTCTAATTTTTTCATCAAATCAAGAAGACTTTAACCTTTTATCAAATCTCACAAGTAACTGTTAGTAAACGACAAGATGAATACCTGGTCAATCAATCAAATAGACAACCAAATTGAAAAAAATTTAAAAAATTTTACACATGACTTTATGTTTTTATTAAATCTCACAAGTGACCGTTAGTAAACGGCCAAATAAATGACTGGCCAATCAATCGAATAGATGACCGAATTAGAAAACACTTCAAAAAAATTTACACTAAGCCAATCGACCGCCCGACATCCTCCCAATCATCCTCTCGGTCAACTAGTTGTTTGATGAAAATTGAAAATTTAACATTAGTAACGGATGAAACTTTTAACCCAAATATTTACTCAAATTTAGTGGGGAAAAAAAATTATTGGAGATATTCTCAGATTGTTTGGGAATGTACTAAATAAATATACTTATTTGACAAATACATTTATTTGAGTCACAACACCTCTCTCATTTTCTGCACATCTTTTCATAAAAAATTAAAAAATATACTAAATTAGCAAACCTCAAAACCATAAAAAACTCGTTCAATTAACAAACAAACAGAGCTCAAACAAATTTTAAATGAGCTGAACTCTAACTATTCAACAGCTTTAATTGGAAATACATAGTGAGAAACGCAAGTACATACAATGAAAGTCAGGTTTTCAACTCCCAATTACAGAAATGATCAATCGCCTAAACAAAAAAGTATATCGGTTTTGCAATAATAATGGCCAAAAGCAATCTATTAGAAAAAATGTCTTTGAATTACGAACACATTTGGTTGTCAAATAAGGCTGCTTTAAAATAAGATATATTCAACAATTTGACAATTACATGATTTTTATTTTTATTTTTTTTAAAAAAGAGTTCTTTCTTTGACCTGATATAAGATTGAAAATTTCAAACTCCATAGCTCACTTCTAAGTTCAAAGATTCTAAATCAAGTAATTGGCAACAAAATAATATAATTTGCACAACCGAGCATGTCCCCAGCAAAATGTGATTTTTATTCAAGGGATACATAGGCATTACCATTTGTGTCTCCACCATTCTGTCACACATTTGAACAAAGCATGCTTTCATTGCAAAATGCACAAGATCAACAGGTAGAATACTAACCTAAACTGAGAAAAGGAAAGGAAATACAAGCAAATACCATATACCGCGAGAATAATAAGAAAGCCAACCGGGTATTAAATGCCTCAACATTCTTGCTCCTCCTTCGGCGCTTTCAATGGGCACATCGAATTGGATGGTTGCTGCAAACATAAAATACAAGGGATAAAGACCTTCGAACTTAAAAGTTCTTAACAAATGCATAATGTCACCCAGTAACACTCCCAAGTCCTAGCCCATGTTTTATGAAGTATGTGCATGCAAACTTCACTCAGCAGCTAAAAAAAACTTCTCCACACTAAACAAAATTGTCAGTGTTGCACAGGCACTGTCAAAGTAACAATTTGTATGTAGAGATTCAACTAAGGTGAGTTCAGATGGCTGAGGGCCTATCCAAGCTCAGCTTGAGCTGTAGAGGGATTTGCCAAAACGCAGCCTGAGACTGACCTCTAGCCCGAATTGACTTGCCCAAGCCCGAGCCCGAGCCTAAGTTTATCTAAAAAAAATATGGTTTGTATTCAGCTTGTGTTGTTGAATTCAACAAAAAACAAAAAACTGTCTTCAGTTGAGTCGTCCTAAACTGATGTATTAACAACAGGTACCATTTACTTAATTTATGCTACAGTTATCCAGCCTAAAGCAATAAGCATCCAACAAGATTTTTAACAAAAGAAAACCATCACTTCCAACGGCAATTGGTTTGGCATGAAAGTATAATTAGCAAATGTAATAGATCATAACTACTAGTTAAATAAAGCCCCAATCAAGCAAGGTTACACAAGATTAACAAAACAGATCGAATCATACCTTACACTGGAGACTGGCTATTGTAGATCTCAACAACTGATCCCCAACTATCAATCTCAACTTTTTAATAAAATCATCCCGACTAATTTTCTTGCTCTAATAATATTTCCAACGAGACAGAAAAAAGAAAAAAAGAAAAGAAAAGAAAAGAAAATTAGAAAAATATTAAGTAAAATCAAAAAGGAAGAAATAAGAGATAGTACAACATACCCTGAATAACTCATAGTGAACATCCACCAATTTCATATCCTTAGGAGCTACTTTACTTGAGATAGCGCCAAACAACAAAGCGAAAGGCATCCAAGGGGATTTAGGAATCTTCATGGTGCTCGAACCAACACTGCAGGCCTTTCCCTGAGATTTATTCTCAACATCTTGAGATGCATGGCAATTTTTCTCCTACGAAACAGTGAGTGATACTATCAAAGAAGGAAAATCTCCTTCATAATGACAAGGAGAAACCAAACACTACAAACAAAGGTTAGCCTACCAAATATTGACATGCGAATAATTTACGAAAACATATTCTCAAATCATAAAGACCAGATAAGAGGAGACGGATAACAAAGTCATTCGTCAGCAATAACTATTAACAAGTACATATGAAAATTGGTCTACTCCTCACCATTGCTTGAATACTTGACATTCCCAAGAATGTAAAAGAATAATAATTTTTTTTATAAATAATAATGCTTATTTATATACCAGCCATTAAAACAAAGGTGCAATAGAAAAGCCCTGGTAATGTTTGTCCGATAATCTAGTTATATCAATTATACCCATACCATGCCATGGTCTAAAAAGTGAAATCTAATTAATCTAGTTATATCAATTATACCCATACCATGCCATGGTCTAAAAAGTGAAATCTAATCCCCATCCAACATTTTGGGCTGTCATAAAGCACCTTTTGCGAGTATGCAATTCTATCACACAACATGGTAGCAGTTAGGCCATAATCTTATCTCCAGTAAAGCCAGCCAAACCTCTTTAGCGGGGCCAGGCCTACTTGACAATAAAGATCTCAAGCTTTAGCTCAGCTCCTGGACAATTCCAGTCATAGAGTTATGGTGTCGTGGTGCTATCAGCTTGTGCAAACACAAAGCACTTCCACTTGCTCCACAGATTAACATAATAAGCAGAAAGGACCCAGATTTGTTATCATCACCATCAAAAAATTGCTGCCCACTAGATAAAATTAGCAAAGAATGACCCACAATAACAAGAAACTTGATGCATGCAAACACTTACTGATACAACTGAAGATGAATTTAGCTGGAATTGACCCCGATGAAGTCCCTGACAAGCAGCAACCCCAGCAATGTTAAACCTGCTTTCTTGCCCAACCAGAGCTCCTGTAGCAACATTGAAAAGTTCCGCAATCCAATACTTAAAGATGTCTCAAATATAATTAAAATTTACTAAAATCAACACCAAAAAAATATTAGATTCATACACCTCTTCTAAATGTGTGTCCCACTGACACACTAATGAGTGATTGATTATAAGTGCTAAGCTGGATTCATCCATAAAATGAATTAACCATCTTTGTACCAATGAATGGCGTGTATCAAGCCAGTGGCCACACGAACAGAAAGAGGTATATGATATCTTCTGCTAAACTTGGAATACAAATCATGCATTAACTGTTAAACAGAAACATTAAATGAGGTATCAAGTAGCACCTTCAGCACTGTGGGACATCTTGAAACTGATAACATATTCTGGATAGATGTGTGTGTTCATATTCATGTTCCAAACAATATAATGAATAGGATTTTGCAGATCATCAACTCCACTATCAAAGTTTTCACTACTGGGATGAAATTGTCCAGATTCAGGATGAACAAGTTCCATTTTTCCCAATATGACACGGCAAAACACCAGATGGCGTACTCCATTTTCGTCAACATCACAGTAACTTGAACTGTAAAAACAAAAATGTTGAATACTTCTCGAAAAGCACATTATCAACAGGAATGAACACGAGAGAAAGGAAAAATGAAATATTTCACAAAAAGAAACACAAAACTATAACTATCCATGGGATCATCTGAATCCAAGAGCCAGCCATACATATTGTGTTGTTGCTTATACAAATCTAAATAAAATAAAAAAGCAAAGCAATTTCACTTTACCCTCTTGTGGTTTGGCCAATGTGCGGATGACCCCCTCGACATTTAGAAATAACCACAGAAGTTAGTGTGCATTTTAGTCCACAAACCACATGGGGGTTGTGTGGTTATTTTCAAATGAGGAGAAGGTGATCCACACAACCCACATGTGGACGATACATGGGTCAAGCCATAAGGGAGTAAAATGAAATTTGCCAAAAACAGTATATCCAAACCTGGTGAGGACACCCTTCATAGATGTGAGGTGAATTCCGATACCAAATGTGGTCTTCATTTTGGATCCACAATGTGCAAGCCCATAAATCATGAGGCTAGACAGTGCATCTTTGCTAGAAGCAAGCCATGCATACCGAACATTTGGATCTCCACGACACTTTTGGGTGATCTCAACCTGTTTCTGAAAAATTTCCCAGCGAGTTTGCATAAAATTACTGGTGCATTGGTTAATTTCAAGTATGTTTGCATTTAAAGATGGGTTCAGGCCCTCGACAAACATGTTTCTCACAATTTCTGAATTCACAATTTCACAAACACCTTCAAATTTAGGTGATAAATGTCCACCAATCTGTTGAACTTGCTCAACCACCTCTTCAATTTTTGCATCAGAATTTTTATTGCAACCGTCATTAACACCCAGCTCATTGTGACATTCAACAAGTTTTTGGCCAATTTTAATCCGCTTAGCAGAAGCATTAGACTCTTCCACACATTCCTCCAAATTACAGCTACTGACTCCATTTATTTCAATTTGAAGATGTAAATTGATTTCACGGGCCCCATTTGGCTCCAGAGAAGCAAATTCTTCATCTTTCTGTAACTCAGATTGGTTGCATTCATGTCTTCCACTATCAGTGGAGTGTAATTGCGGAAAAAAGCAGCTACCTGCTTCATCAATCCAGGCAATAGGTTTCTGTAAACCTGTCTTCAAGTCTACTTGAAGCATATACAGGATATCAAGCATTAGATGGCATTCATTGAATTGCACCTCAATTGCTGCATTCTTCATTCGAAAATCTTCCCGAACCAACTCGAGAATCTCCTGAGGAAAGTCATTCCATTCACCATTCTGATAAAACAGCAAACGCTGTGGCAGTCCACTTCTCAAAAAATCTGAATAGTTCTTTACTACAGATTTTTTCAAGTGTACCCCCCCGCACTTGGTTTTGCATCCATCCAATCTCTTCCGCTTACCAAGCTTGTTAAATAGTGAGGGTCGCTTGGGCTGAAGTGACACCACCTTGTGCCTCGCTCCTATAATGTTTGCAGCACACTGAGCTGCCCGCCTTTTCTTCGAGTCTACAACTATTCTATGACCATTATCCAATACTTTAACCCACTTTGATGCCATTTATCTACAAGGGCAATCCTTTATTTACAAACTATAATCCATAAGGTTAACTGGTACTAAGCCTTCTACTAAAGATCCCCAAAAAATGATGCCATAGAGAAGAAATCGCAAATCCTGAAGTAAAATCAAATCAGATAACATATCATACACAATTAATATGTCTGTTACGCATATCTGACAAAAAAAACATAATATTTCAAGGAAAATATTGTAAAAGAAAGATTTAGACATACATGCACACCAGTATAGAACAAATAGGAAGCAACAATTCCAACCCAAACCAGTATAAAACTATAAAATGTTGATACAAACTATATTTACTTACTTTTTTGGTCAAAGGTAATCAACATAGTGGATGTATACCATTGCAATTAATGTCATCGGTCTTAATCCAAGGTTAAGTGATTGCCACTACACAAACATTTGAACTGTATCATTGTCCATTGACACCAATCTAGATGGATCCATAACATGGACACTGTCCAATTCATTTCCACTGATACATAACTTACCGATTTATTACTAGGCACAATTTGTGTGTTGACATACACCAGTGCAATTAATGCCATCAGTCATAATCCAAAACGAATTTTGACCACCCTCAGAAGGGCTATTATTAGTAAGTGCTTGCCACCATTGAAAAATGAAATGAACTAGATCAATATCAATCCACCCAGGTGCTTGATACCGTGGACACCATCCAATTCAGTTCTTCTAGTAATACAGAACATTTGGACGGATGTATTACAAAAAGAATCAAATTTGTGTCAAGCAGGTGTAATACAGCAGTAACCCTGTTGTATAATTAAAAGACAAAATAAGTAGGGGTGAGCATGGTCCGGATTGGATCGGATTGGGATAAAACCAGGACCAATCCGTTATTTACTAGGCACAATTTGTGTGTTGACATACACCAGTGCAATTAATGCCATCAGTCATAATCCAAAACGAATTTTGACCACCCTCAGAAGGGCTATTATTAGTAAGTGCTTGCCACCATTGAAAAATGAAATGAACTAGATCAATATCAGTCCACCCAGGTGCTTGATACCGTGGACACCATCCAATTCAGTTCTTCTAGTAATACAGAACATTTGGACAGATGTATTACAAAAAGAATCAAATTTGTGTCAAGCAGGTGTAATACAGCAGTAACCCTGTTGTATAATTAAAAGACAAAATAAGGGCTAAAATAGCCACAAAAGACAAAATAGGCTATTTTAGCTATAATAAACAAAACATCACATCCAACCCATAATCATTACACTCTTCTCTCACAAAAAAAATCAAAAAAGCCAAAAAGCCCATCCCAAACCAAGCTTTTTAGCCCAGGCTAAAATAGCCAAAAAAGCCAACCCATTTCCCAAACCAACCCTAAACAACCCCAATGTCCTTAATTAAAAAATATATTCACATTGCCATAGTAAAATTACAATTACATAGTTGGGTAATAATAAATAAGAATTAGGCACATAGTTCTATTTATAATTTCTTATTAGCCAAAATACATGTCGTCGTTATACTTAGGCCTCGTTTGGAATGTTACTAAATTAGCCAATTAGACAAAAAGTTACTAAATTAGCCAATTAGTCAATTAGTCATACCAAAAAGTCAACAATTACGGCTTCTCTCTACTTTTTGCACAGCTTTTCGTAATTAGTCAAAAAGTCATCCCAAACATACAAGTTTTTTTTACCTACCTTTTTAGCCAATTAGCCAAAAAGTTACTAAATTAGCCTGTTCCCAAACGAGGCCTTAATGGTTATGTTTGGTTTGGTTTGATTTCAGAAACTTATTTCATAGTTTTTTTAAAAAAAATTAAAAATTTTGGTAAAAAAATAAAAAAAATAAAATGCTCTTATCATTTATAGATAATTTTAACTTTTGTAAAGCTAAAAATAATTTTTAAAAATTTAAAAATATCTTTTAATATTTATTTTTATCAGACCAGTTTTCATTTTTTCAAAAAAAAAAAAATAAATGATCCACCATGGTGACATTTAAGGAAGAAACTGAAGAAAAAAAATTTCAAAAGTTAACAAAAACAGAACTCGAAAAATAAGTTCAGAAAAAATGGTAACAAAAGTGAAAACTCTCCTGAAGAAAATTGTGACACGAAAAAAAAGTGTATACACAGACATAAACTTATGCGAAGTCAACTACAACCAAACAGTAAAAGAACACACAAAACTTGATTTACGAAACAGAAATATGAATTCAAAGGCTGGGCTTATCAATCTAAAAAGACTAAGTTGATATCAGAGTTGTCATATAAAATAGAGTTATGTGCCCATGATGTATACAGTATACTTATACAGAAATGTTAAACTCCTCCCAGAGAACAACATCAGATTTAAATTATTTTACCTCAACAATAGCCTCAGATCCATTTTGGTTAAGTTTGCGCTCATAATTTACCAAGCAGGAAAAAAAAGACATCCATCAATGTTTTCAACTTTTCAAATTAACCAATGAGCTAAATAGCAGATTACAAGTTTTGGCACCCATGGGAAGACAAGTCAAAAACAATGGCCAGTAATTGAAACTTTTAACATAGCAAAAGTCTAAAACATCCAATCATAGTATTATTAATCAGACTACAAGCAGACACTATTTGAACATGACCAGCTTTAATGTCATCCCTCAAAAAATAACATTAATAATGGCACTTAGCACATCATTGCAACTGCAAGAACATACCAAATTCTTCAAACTAACACCCAATTCTGTACAAGTTTCTCGTCCCCGAGCCATCAGCACAAAGTCGACGAGTTTTTTTCTAGCTACAAACTCCCAAGCAGCTCCAATACTTACAGTCCTCTAAAATGCAACTTTTTGTTAGTGACAAGAACTACTAAAATAAAAAAATTAAAAACATAATAGAGAAAAGTAAAATTTGCAAATAACCGTAATCCAATTTACCTTGTTCTCTCTGGTTCATACGCACATGACCCCAATTTTGTTATCTTTTTCAAATTACCCAGACTCAGCGTCAAATTTTTTCTGTGTTCAAATACAACATCAACTTTATATGAGTAATGATTTACAAATTAATAAATCTTACAAAACAAGCAAAATATTCACTAATGTGACACCTACCGCATTATTACAATGGGTCCTATTTCCATATTGGGTCCCATTTCCGATATCAAAGTTTCATTACTGCATGATGTGACTAATGAAAGTTCATAAAATTTGTTAATTTGTACAGTCGTTTTTGGTAATATTTTTCATGACATACTTATCCACACATAAAGAAAAATGATATTTTTACTCCATTCACGACATACTTATCCACACAAAGAAAAATGATATTTTTACTCATTTTTTCACCTCCTATGTGGATTCACACAACAAACATAGGACGCCCATATCAAGAACGATATGTAGATGACATTTGTTGTTTGCACCCACGGAGGAGGTGAAAACATAAATACATGTGGATTTCAAAATAGAACTCTAGAAAATACTCTCCTTGTTTGGCTAGTTTTTAAAACAATTTTATAGTTTTTTGTTTTTCGTATTTATCCCTTTAACAAACTTTTTTAATATTTTGATCAATTTTTTTAACTTCTTAGATTATGCAATTATTCTAGGTCCACCTAAACAATAAAATATTTTGTACAAAAAAACTGGAAAAAAAAAATTAAAAAAGAAGAAGAAGAAATGTGCTAGTTTTCTTTTGCCTTCAATTTTTTTCCTAGATTTCTTCACAAATATTTTGCATTTTTTTTAAAAAAAATTTCAAACCAAAGAAGGCGAGTATTTAAAATGAAACTTTAATTTCCACAATATAATTACTTAAACCGAAAAATAAAATAAAATAAAACGATCGAGCTATCACTCAAATTCAAAACTTTAAATACAAAACAAAAGTAAAAAAATCATATATCTCAAAAAACCACCAACAGCCTTGACCAATAAATCAAACCTTCAGACCGAGTAAGACTTGAGAAATTAAACAAATCTATACATATAATATACCCAAAAACGAGTCTAAAAGCTCCGATCTGTCAAATTCCTACAAAATCCCCAAATTCAACCTGAAATTGCACAAAAAACAAACAATTTCGCAATGCGTCATCAGATTCCGAACCCTAAAAATCAAAATTATCTAAAAAAAGAGATAGATCTGCGATTTTTTTACCTAATTGCGATGAAAATCGGAGTGTTCTTGATGAGACGGGCTTGGATTCGCCGCCGTCAACGTCGTCGTCTCGGAGTCGGAGAGAGAAGTGAAGGTGAGTTGTGGGGGGACGAAGGGGGGTGAGGACGAAACGACGACGTCAGACGGCGAAGAAGAAGACCAAATGGTGCGACTCCATTGAAGATTCTTCTCTTTTTTTTCTCTGCTATTAATGGGGTTTTGCTTGAGCGTAAAGACAGAAAAGGAAGAGAGAGAGAGAGAGGGTCGCTGATCTGGACACCTCTCGTGGGTTCGAGGATTATGAGGTTGAGATCCGACGGTGGTGTATGAGTGTAATGAAACGATGTCGTTTAGTTGAGGAAAGTTTGATACGACGACGGGTTGGCTGTTTAGAGAAATTATAGTTTGCTCCAGAGGCAAATCCAAATAGTGCTTCAACATGTATTTTATTGGCTAAAATAGCAGGTCCTATCATTTTTTATCTCTTATGAGGGGATAACATGATAAATGTCATGATTTGTGTGGTGTGGGGCAATGCTTCTGCACCACTAAATAACTTCTCGTGTGTTTGTGACTTTTTAATTTTCTTGGTACGACCGAGTCAACTCAGTTTTATTGACGGGTCAAGTACTGCGTAATTTCACCCAAAAAAAACAAAAGAAAAAATGAAAAAGGAAAAGAAAATGTGTGACGGAACATGGTAGGACAAAGTGAGAGTTATAATTGAATTGAGCGTAGTGGCAAGAAAAATTATACCCACAAAATAATAATAGGGAAAATGTTAGAGGTCCCAAATTTTTTACCAAATAAATGATCAAATGTTTCATATGGGTGTGGGGCCCACAAAATTGCGGACCCCACACTCATGTGAGACATTTGGTCATTTGTTTGGTAGAAAATTTGGTGTCCCTAGCATTACTCCTTTTTCTTTTTTTTTTTTCTTTTTTTTCCTACTCCACCAATCACCCCCTGTCACCTGACAAAGGGGGTGAGGGATGACCCCCAAAAGGGGGTCCCAAGCATTATTCATAATAATAATATACTAGTGATAATTCGTGTTACGTACGGATAAGTAATAAAAAATTATAAATAATGTTAAATATGTTAGAAATTAATAATTAAATATTATAATATTAATTTAAATGGGTATTGAAATAATATATTTAATAATTTTATTATATTTAATTAAATAAATTTTAGAAGAAAAAAAATTTAACTGAAAATTAAGAGTAAGAGTGGATTTTATAAATATAAAATAAATATAAAAATAAATTAAGTTTAAATTTGAAGATAAACTATATATATATATATAAAGAAAATTAGAAAAATCTTTAAAAAAATGAGGTAGAGAGAAATTCAATAATTGAAAAAAAAAGTTGAAATTTAAAAATAAGATAAGATAAACTTGAAAAGAAAAATAAAATCTAATATAACTATAATAACAGAAGAACTGAAGAAGGTAATAGTTAAAAAATTAGATAAGAGTAAAACGTCGTTTATAATTTTTTAAAATTTGTAAAAAAACTAAAACAAAATTGAGGTAGTATGTTCAAAATTAGATAAGATTTAAGTGTCACTTATAATTTTTTAAAATTTAAATTTTGTGTAGTTAAAAAATAAGCAATTATGTTATCTTATTATACAAATTTTAACTCTATTTTGTGTCTATTACCTATAATTTTAATCAAATTTTGTATTCTAAAGCTACTTAATTAAAATAAGAAAGAATCCAAAATTATAAGAATATAGAAAGTAAAAATCAGATAAAAAGAATAAACTTAATTGAAAATCAAGAGCGAGAATTGATCTTGTAAATATCTGTAAATATAAGTAAAGATTAAAAAAAAATCAAATGTAAATTTGAAGATAAATTATAAGAATATAGAAAGAGAAACTTAGATGAATTGCAAAAGTAAAAGAGAGCAAAAAACACAATATGAGATTTAAAACATGTGCTTCTTTTCACATAAGATGCCAAAATTTTTGCATAATTGGTTAAATCACCCGTTTAATTTATCTACAATGTTATTTTTGTTCTCCAATTTTTTTGCCTGTAAATATAAGTAAAGATTAAAAAAAAATCAAATGTAAATTTGAAGATAAATTATAAGAATATAGAAAGAGAAACTTAGATAAATTGTAAAAGTAAAAGAGAGCAAAAAACACAATATGAGATTTAAAACATGTGCTTCTTTTCACATAAGATGCAAAAAATTTTGCATAATTGGTTAAATCACCCGTTTAATTTATCTACAATGTTATTTTTGTTCTCCAATCTTTTTGCCTAATTTCATATTGTCATGGAAGTTAGGTTTTGAGATTTATAAAAAAATTTTTTTTTTTTTGAAATATCCTTGGGTAAGACATAAATTGATGAAGAAATTTGAATTAGAGTCACACTCATATTTTATCTTTAAATATTTTGAAAATCTTTTATATCCATGTCATAAGTAATTAAAAAGTGAAATAAAAAATATAAAAAAGATAAGAAAAAATAGGAAAATAAAATGAGAGAAGAATAGATGTGCCACATAGGAAAGAGGTTCATGAGATGTTAGGATTGAGTGTTTAAAATTTTTTAAGAAACCACTACATTTACTTATATATATATATATATATATCAGTTTTGTTTCCTTAAATATATATATATATATATATATATATTTTAGTGAACATAAATTGATTCAGAGACCCCCAAAGGAGGTCTGAATCTTTTTTCTAAATATATATAGTATATAGTATATAGTATATATAGTATAGATATAGATAGATAGATAGATATAGATATATATATATATATATATATATATTTAGTAGCTTTTACGCACCAAATAATTTTTTTGATATCCTCAAAAAAAAAAAATAGGGGAATTTTTTTTTATAGTCCCTAATAATAATAATTTAGAGGATAAATGACACCAAAAAAATGGGTGATGCATCAGGTCCCTCAACTATATCATGCGCATTTTTAATTCTTTTATGGACCAAAATACCCTTCACAAATCAATAGAGAAACCAAACTGGATTCCGATGACTGAATTCCATTCCAAACGTCCAACCATTTTTACGAGCAAGAGAACAACAAAATTAGGGTTTCAATATCATTTTCACTATCGACATTAGAATTTCATTATCTTCTGTAAAAATCTTTCCCATTCCTTTTTTACAAATTCCTCTGACCCGTTTTCACTGTTCATTGTCATCTTAGTTCATCTTTATCACATTGCATCTTCATCTCAGGGCATATCAGTTTATAATTAGTGTTTTATCCTAACTCTGGTAAGTTTTTATACAATCTAACTAGTTTTTCTCTAGAAACACAGTTAATTGTATTTTATATTAGCCTTCCATTAATTAGGGATTCAATTTCCTAATAAAAAGCTACACAAATTTGAAAAAAGTTATTTCTCAGTGTTTTGATCTTATTCTTGAACATGTTTGTGTGATTTTGTCTGTAAATTTCTCTAGAATGTGTAATTTTTTCTGGAATGTGTAATTTTCTCAGGCATTTTCATTTTCTGTACCTGTTAAATTTATGTTTTTTTTTTTGAATTTTCTCTAGCTATATTTTACATCTATATGTAATGTTACTCTCTTGTCTTTGTCTAAGTTTCTTTGGCATTTATAATTTTCTCTGGCCATATCACTTTTCTCCCGTGTGTGTCTCTGTCATGTTTAATTTTCTCTGGTTGTGTATCTAAATTTCTCTGGCATTTTAATATTATGGAATAGAATTTTTCTATGGAATGTGAAATTTTCTCTGTAATGTGTTATTTTCTCTAGCACTTTCATTTTTTGTGCTTGCTAGATTTATGTTTATTTCTTGAATTTTCTCTGGCTATATTTTACATCTATATGTAATTTGTAGCAATTTTTGAAAATTTCACTGTTATGTTTATGCTGCTTTGGTTATTTTCTCTGGGAATGAAAATTACTTGTAGTCGCATATATTCCACACAAAAACACTTAGTATTCTCTTGTATGTGTCTAAATTTCTCTGGAATTTATAATTTTCTCTGGCTACATTAGTTTTCTCCCTTGTGTCTGTCTTCCATGTTGCATATTTCTCTGGTATGTTTATTTTGTTCAATTCTTGGTTTCAATGTTGTGTAATTTTCTATGGCATGTTAACATTGCTTTGTTTATTTTATCTTACTAATTGTGAAATGAAAATTTTCTCTGGCTTGCCATGTTTACTTTTCTCTATCATATTCATTTTCTGTGCTTACTAGATATATGTTTTTTTTTTAATTTTCTCTAGCTATATTTTATTTCTATATGTAATTTTAATAATTATTGAAAATTTATCTGGCATGTTTATGTTGCTTTGTTGATTTTCGCTAGGAATGAAAATTTTATGTGGCTAGATGTGTCCTACAGGAAAACAATTAGTACTCTGACATTTAATTTTAAGTGTCTAATTTTCTCTGATCATCTTATTTTTCTCCCTTATGTGTAATTTTCTCTTACATGTTCAATTTTCTGTAGCATGTTTAATTTTCTCTGGGATTTAATGTTGACATCTTTATGTTTTCATTGTCTAGAAATGGCAAAACATAGAAGTAGCAAAACACCAGAAATACCGAGAAAGAAACAGAAACTCTCCGAATCTTCTTATGATATTAGATCAAAAAACAGCAAAACACCACAAATTCCTCGCCAAAACACACAAGTCCAAGGTGATGAAGCAACTAGCATCAAGATGAATAACCCAACTTCAAAAGACTCAAGCTCAAGAAGAAGAAAACCTGTTAAACTTCAAAGAAAGAGAGCTCATTACAACATTCAATATCGATCCGACCTCTCATCTCTTGTCTCATTTTTTCAAACCCTTAAATTCAATTCAAACCAACTTGAAAAGCTTCAAAGAGCCCATTCTGGTATTTGATCCAAGCTTTAACCACTGGAAGGATGGATCAAAGGAAGTCTAGGAAATCTGATGATGACATAGTTGCAATAATCCAATGTTACAATGAAAAAACGAAAGCATTCACAATTGGTAAAAAGAAATTAACCTTTATAACCAATGACATGACCTTGTGTAATAATCCCGATCCACAATTAGTCACTAATCGGTAATTAAAGATGTTAACGAGAGGATTAAAATAAATTATGGAATTAATATGTAAATTGCATGATTTTGGCGTTCTATTTGTTACTTATAGAAATATCTGTTTGGAATTCTACTTTAACATGTAAATTGAAAGTCTTATCGGCATTCGAAACCGAAATTGATCTCATCAATATGTTAT